TACGATGTAGATTCGTTCTGAGTTCATGACATGGTGTCCACGATCTCGCTTCCTTCTGGCCCTGATTGAGGACTCATCATGGTGTATGGTCAGCACAATCTTCTCTTTTTTGATGTTGCCACCATCTGGGTCTTTCATGCTGCCCAGCAAAGAGCTTTGGACGCCTCCCAGATGAATTGAAGTGAAGCCCCAAGACAGCAGACTACATATAGCATGACTAGAGCCCTCCACCACCCAAGAGCCTTCCCGACCTCCATCCAGAAGAATGGCCAAATCAGTGTCTGGGAGAGCCTCACCCTGGACCCTGCATGCAAGTGCTGCTTGCATTAGCTTTGGCAGCCGCCCCTCACGGAGTGGAGGCAATCGAACACTAGGCTGTGTCGCAGCCTCCCCGGCCATTTTGGAATCCTGAGCTTGAAGCATAGATCCTGACACCCAAAACACCTGAGATCCTAAACCCTTAGCCCTAGACCACTAAACCCTAAACCCCTAAACCCTAAACCCCTATACCATCAACCCCTACATGTCAAACCCCGAATCCTGGCTCTAAACCATAACACTAAACCCTAAATTTTGAAACCCTACTACACCCTTTAGACCACTAATCCCAAAACCCTGACCCCTAAACCCTCAACCCCTACATCATTTCAACCTCTAAGCCCTAAACCCAAAAGCCTGAGCCCTAAACCCTAGATCCTGAACCCCTAGACCCTCCAAACCCCTAAACCCTGAAATATTGTACTGAAAATTGTCCGGGGGTAAAGCATCCTACTTCACATGTGGGGAAGTAGCAAGGTGTACACCCAACTAGCCATGGATTTAGGATTTAGGTTTCCCAGGGGAATGCATGCGAATGCATGTAAGGCCAGGAATCAAAGTAGATCGCAACCGACTTCAAGAAGGTGAGCCTGACCACCACGGCTCATGTGATGACAAATGCAGTTATTATATTCTAGGTATCTTAGTCACATGTGGCACTAAGGGTGCTTTCTGAGGAACTCATTGTTCGCATGGCTGATCACCTCTCCCTTCCATTCTGACAAACTTGTTGCTTTCAGCGCCTTCGTCATTTCTTTCGTATTCACTGCTTCCGGAATAAGCAGCACATGCGTGCGCACTGTTTTCACAGCCTTTTCTTTGAACCTGAGGAAGTCATGTGAGGCAGGTGATTCAAATTGTCTGGTGAACTTCGCAACCCACAAACCCGTCATCACCCAGCAACACTATGTGTCCTAACCTTAAAACCATGAACTGCACACTTCCCTCCCTAAACCCTAAACCACTAAACCCTAAATTCTCATCTGGCAAGGTGCATGAGCAACTTCCGGCTTGCCTCATCATCAAGCTTGGCCACCACTTCATTCGCCGTCTTTTTGCCACTCGCCGTTGGCAAAGTGACCTGTCAATTTTGTATTTGGGGTTCAGAGACTTTGGCACTAGCAAAGGGCAGAATTCAAACTAGGCAAGTTGTAAAGTTGCTCAAGCATCAGATTTCTTTCCC